CCGCCAGGTGCTGTATGGACACCTCTTCCTGGCTCTGGTGCTCTAGCCTGGGACACCCCTTTTGGTGAGACCCTGTACTTCTCAATGGGAAACTTTGCTGCTGATACATCCTTCTGGAATCTCAGCCACCACCCCTTGAGCCAGGCCAGCCCTTTTCACATCTCTGCCCTTTTACCAGTCTCAATGTGGCTTCTTCTGTAAATCCTTGGTTTTAAGACTCCTGTTCAGCTAGTCTTCCATTGGTTATTTAGGATAACTGATCTATAAATTAGTTGTAATTCCAGTTTGGTTCCAAAAGGAGATAAGTGTAGCTTCCACCCTTCCACCTTCTCCACTGCCATTTGGGATCATCTAAAACTGAGATCTTAATCCTAATAATCTGGCTTCAAAATCTGTCCTCTTAATCAATACATTATCTTTCACATTTCATAAATAACTTATCTGTGCCCTTCTTTTCTTGTGTGGTGTCACATTTTCTATTACCCTAAAGGAGCCAATATCTTCCTGACCTTTTCTTTTCTTACTGTTAAGCCTACTCTCAGCCCTAGCCAGTTTTGCTCAGTAGATAGAGTATTGGCCTATGGACTGAAGGGTCCAGGGTTAGATTTTGACCAAGAGCACATGCCCAGGTTGTAGGCTCAATTGCCAGGAGGTGTGCAGGAGGCACCCTCCTGGCAATTGATTTTCTTTTATCATTGATGTTTTTATATATATCTCTCTCCCTCTCCCTTTCTCTCTGAAATCAATAAAAATACATTTAAAAACAAAACCTACTCTCGGGAAATACATATACATATGTTCATTCATTCATTTACATCAAGGAATAAATGACTGATAAGCTTTAATATAAAATAATTCTATTTCAGGGTTGAGTTTTCTTAGGGACATGAGGAATGTTAAGGGGCCATAAAACCTTAACCAAAAACCTTGTTGAAATTTAAAGTATATATGGGCACGGGAGAACAAATTATACCATTATTTAGTTGGCCCATGCCTTGTGGGAATCTCCTAGTAGAAATGAGGAATATAAATGTGGAATGGAAAGAATAAGAGATACATGTCCCGACCCGCGGGACAACAACGGGGCCACACAGGAACCACCTAAGAGAATGAAGCAAACAAGGAACGCGAAAGAATGGAGGCAAGACAGGGTTCTGATCAAGCCTCAGTTTTATTCTCTGAAATGGCTGTATTTATACAGCAGAAACAAAGGGGGGCAGGGTTGCCTATGCAGGGGGGTCTTTGGTATCTGGCAACACAGGATTGACTAATTGCCAGGGGCAGTGTGACATTCCAAGGTGCAACATTCCAAGGCTGGGCTATCTAGTGGGGAGGATCAGGAAGGGGAAGAGGCAGGAAGACAGGAAGATGCTAAGCCCCAGGTTAATCTTATCTTCTGGCCAAGCCCTCAGGGCACCGCATAACTTCTGCTAGAAGGAACTTAATTCTATTTCCTTAAGACTGAGTTGCTTGCCTCAACTCTGCTGGCTCCCAACAGATACATCTTTATTATATTGATTAAATTATTTTAGAAATATCTTATTATTCCGCCGAAACTGGTTTGGCTCAGTGGTAGAGTGTCGGTCTGCGGATTGAAAGGTCCCAGGTTCGATTCTGGTCAAGGGCATGTACATTGGTTGCGGGCACATCTCCTACAATGTGCAAGAGGCAGCTGGTTGATGTTTCTCTCTCGTCGACATTTCTAGCTCTCTATATCTCTCCCTTCCTCTCTGTAAAAAATCAATAATAATTAAAAATAAAAGATTAACATGGAAAAAAATAAAAGAAGTATCTTATTATTCCCCTAATTCATTATCAAGTATCGAGTTCTGATATAACCCCAAGAGACATAAACCCTAGGGGAAAGCTTTAACTTGAAGAGAGATAATCCCATCCTAGGGTCTAAGTGTTTATGCATTTACACATGCATCAAGGTAGAGCCAAGGATTGATCTTTGTTCCTAAGAAATAAAACCCTCTCATGTGGATGTATGATTATTTGCTCTAGGTATCTTAAACCTAGGACTGTTAACCTTAATGCAGTGATTTTCAACTTTTTCATCTCATGGCCACAAACTATTAAATATCTGCAGCACATCAAAAAATATATTTTTTGCTGAAACCAGTTTGGCTCAGTGGATAGAGCATCGGCTTGGGGACTGAAGGGACCCGGGTTCGATTCCGGTCAAGGGCATGTACCTTGTTGTGGGCATATCCCCAGTAGGGGGTGTGCAAGAGGCAGCTGATCGATGACTCTCTCTCATCAATGTTTCTAACTCTCTATCTCTCTCCCTTCCTCTCTGTACAAAATCAATAAAATATATTTTTTTAAAAATATATATATATATGTGTGTGGGTGTGTGTGTGTGTGTGTGTGTGTGTGTGTATATATATTTTTTTTTTAATTTTTTTTTTCTTTTTGTCTATCTGACCGAAAAAAAAAGTGATTTTTATTCATTCACACCAGATAGCTATTGTGGTGGTGGCTATTGTCATTTTTTTATATGACAATCTAAGGCAGTGGTTCTCAACTTTTTTAATGCCACGACCCTTTAATACAGTTCCTCATGTTGTGGTGACCCCCAACCATAAAATTATTTTCGTTGCTACTTCATAACTAATTTTGCTACTGTTAATGAATTGTAATGTAAATACCTGTGTTTTCCAATGGTCTTAGGCGACCCTATTAGTGGTTTTCAACCTGTGGGTCATTAGAACTGTGAGAACTACTGATCTAAGGGAAAAGAGGTCAATGCCCCTAACTAAATAGTCAGATACTGCATGTTTTGAAAATTCTTGTGGCACACCAGTTGGAAGAATCACTGCCCTAGAGTTATTTTTTATACCTCTCCTTATTATTCCACATCACTCAGTCATCATTTCTTTCTATCTAGTTTCTCAGGTATTTCTAGTTTAGTTCAATGAACACCATTGAGTGTCTGCTTTATGCCAGACACTGTGCTCTGAGCATATAAGTACTCCTATCTTACATTTCTAATTTTCTAGGGGAGAATATAGCATGATTCAAGCAATCATAGAAGTGTGTTTCAATATAGTAGCAGTATACAAGAGGCATTACTTTGTTAGGGAAGCCACCTTGAAAATCTTACAAAGGATATGATGCTTGAATAGGGTTTTTAAAAATAGATAGTGCATCAGAATAATGGTAGAATAGCAACACATTCTAGCTAGAGGGCAAAGCGTACATGAAGTCATGGAAGCATAGCACAGTGTGACCTGGCAGCTATAGGTAATAGCACTATAGAATAGATGAAGTTTGAGTCAAAGGGTGATGAAAATTATGTTTTTGGTTTTTTAATTATCAAGAGCTTTATATGCCTCTGGTATCAATTTGTTTTTCTCCATGTCTGTGACTATTAAAGGTTTAGTCTTTTTTCAGTACTCTGCTAAATCATACATACCCTGTTTCCCTGAAAATAAGACAGTGTCTTATATTAATTTTTGCTCCCAAAGATGCACTAGGTCTTATTTTCAGGGGATGTCTTATTTTTCCGTGAAGAAGAATACGGTACACATTTATTGTTAAATGAAAATAAAGGAAACTTATTACCTATATTAAGGTAAGGTAGTATAGTAGTTGTCAACACAAACCAGACAAACTGTGAATCCTACAGTACCAAGAATTTACTCATTTATTCAATAACAATCATGTCATCATCTTCTGGAACACCATCATAACAATCCAATTCCTGAATTTCCTGGTGAATTTCTTGTGACTCCATTTCTTTCAGAATCAGTGGACCAAATCTCTCATATTTAGCAATAGCATTCTGAGACAGAGCCTAGGGGGCGGGCCTTATTTTCAGGGGATGCCTTATATTTCACTCAGGAGGAAACCTGTAAGTAGGTCTTATTTTCGGAGGATGTCTTGTTTTCGGGGAAACATGGTATGTACCAGTCCTTTACACTTTAGCCACTGGTATCTTGACACCTAAGCATTTATTTACAGCATGTGTTCTCAGTCTTCAACCCTCCACAATAGGAACTGATATCTTAGTATAGTAGGAAGAATGACAACTTTCACTTGTATCTTCATGGTCATATAAGTTTCATAATCAGATTTGCATATAATAACTTAAAAAATTTTTGAGTTAAAGGACTAATATGAAAATAATGTTAGTACAATAATACAATTTAGCCCTAACCAGTTTGGCTCAGTGGATAGAGAGTCAGCCTGCGGACTCAAGGGTCCCAGGTTCGTTCCGGACAAGGGCATGTACCTTGGTTGCGGGCACATACCCAATAGGGCGTGTGCAGGAGGCAGCTGATTAATGTTTCGCTCTCACAGATGCTTCTGACTCTCTATCCTCTCCCTTCCTCTCTGTAAAAAATCAATAAAAATATTTTTTAAAAATAATACAATTTACTATAAAAATAATTTAATTCCATTAAATAAGTGTCTTTTTTCTGCTCTCTAGTCATGTGATAGCACTATATTGAAAAAAATGCACAATGGAAGAAAACAGGAAGAGGATACTTCCTTCCGTACCTGAGAGAAAATATTTAAATGTATGCTCATGCAATGTCTGGCTTTAATTAGCTCTCTAAGACAGTAAAATTGTAGATAAGTGTTCATTTAGTTTCTTCTGTATATCATAAAATTTGAAAGCATAAACACAAAGGAAGATTCGTTGTTAAAGAATATACTGTTTTAGCCCTAACCAGTATTGCTCATGCTTACATCGGCCTGCACACTGAAGGGTCGTGGGTTTGATTCCAGTCAAGGGCATGTACCTGGGTTGCAGGTTTGATCCCAGGCCCCACTAGGGGCTTGTGGAGGCAATCAATTGATATGTCTCTCTCACGTCGATATCTCTCTCTTTTTCTCTCTTCTACTCTCTCAACAACAAAATCAATGAAGAAAATATCCTTTGGTGAGAACTAACAAAACAAAAAGGAATATACTGCTTTAAAATAAAGTTATGTGGAAAATAATATCAAAGCAAACTGATTCTTATGTTAATTTGTAACTTTTTTAAGGATGCTGGACAGTTTTATGCTAAATATAAAGAAACAAGATTGAAGGAAAAGGAAGATGAATTGACTAGAGCTGAACTTGAGACACTTCAAAGTGAGTTTTAAACATTGTCTTACTGTGTTAACAAATTATATAAAACTGATTATTTAAGTTTTAATTTTTCCTTAAATTCAGTAGTAATTAATTTTTTTATGTCTTCTATGTCACCCTATATATTAAGTTAGTTGTCTTTTATTGAACACTAAAGACAGTTATTGCTGATTTTAGAAGTGGAACATAAAAGGCATTTTCCCCATTTTCTTTTTGTCTGATTATTGAAAAAGTTTCAATTAAACTGAATAAATAAAACTAAATGTACTTTTTATTAAGTAAAATCTATACTAATAAAAGGGTAGTATGCTAATTAGACCAGGTTAGGATGATCAGGCTAGCAGGGAAGCAAGCAGTTAGCAGTGATCAGGCTTGTGGGAGACCAGGCAGTTAGGGGTGAGATCAGGCCGGCAGGGAAGGCCAGTTAGGGGGCAATCAGGCCTGCAGGGGAGAGCAGTTGGGTCAACCAGGCTGGCAGGGGAGGGCAGTTGGGGGCAATCAGGCCAACAGGGGAGGGTTCTTGGGGGCACAGAGATGATTAGGGGCAATTAGGCAGGCAGGCAGGCAGGCAGGCAAGTGGTTAAGTGTCAGCCGTCCTGGATTGTGAGAGGGATGTCTGACTGCCAGTTTAGGGATCGGGCCTAACATGGCAGTTGGACATCCCCTGAGGGGGTGCAGGCCAGGCTGAGGGACCTCAATGCATGAATTTCATGCACCATGCATCTAGTGTTTACATAAAAGTTTTCTAAATCTTTTAAGACTAGTCAAAATGTGCCTTTACATTTCTTTATTTTTGTTAAGAGCATTTAACAATATTTAGCATTAATTTATTTATTACTGTTGTTTACCATCTGATTCCCCCAATAAAATATGTTTCAGGTCTATTGTTTCTATCAAAGTACCTTAAAAGAGTCCCTGGTACACAATAGGTGCTTGATAAGTACTTGACTGAACTCATGGAGGTGAAATTTCTTATTTTAAAAATTCCAATGTATTTTTGATTCATACTTCATTTCCTTCATGGATCTGGATTCTTAGAAAAGTGCATGGTGTACCCAGTACCAATCTGGGCACAGAAGACAATGCAAAGATCACTTTGTATCTATAAATGAATGTACATGTTAGCATGCATAGTTTTATAAAAAATAATTTATGTACTTTTGAGGATATGCAGTAAAAGTTTTTCTACAGCATATCGTAGTAATTTAGCCAAATCAACCTAGAGATGAGCAACTGTGGTATTAGTATGTAATATCACACATTTAATATACAGAAAAGTGGTGTTCCCTTCATATACTGAAAGTCCTAGCTTTCTGCCTTCACCCTGACATCAATCAGACCATGGTTTAAGAATAGATGGGAATTATGTTCTCTTCACACCCAAAAGTGCATTGGCACTACCTAAATGTGTGCCTTTGAGGATTTTAGTTTTCTGATCCGTCAAAAAAAAAAAAAAACAACACAAAAAAAACATTTTGGACTAGATTACCCCAATGTTAGTTTTCTATTGTTACTCTAACAAATGTCCACAAGTTAAATGGCTTAAACACAAATTTATTATCTTAGAGTTGTGTGGGTCAGAAGTCTGACATGGATCTCACTTGCCTAAAATCAAAGTTTATCAAGCAGGGGTACATTCCTTTTCCAGCTTCTAGCAACCTTTCACATTCATTGGATACTGGCCCCCTTCCTCCATCTTCAAAGCCAGCAGTAGTTCATCTCTTACTGTTCTTCTAGTGTCACATCTCTGTCTGAATATAACTGGGAAATGTCCTCTGCTTTTAAGGACCCAGGTGATTAAATTAGGTCACTTTGGAGATTTCAGGATAATGTCAGGGAAACTTTAGCACAGGGACTAGCTTTTTGTTTTGGATTTGTTTTTTTTGTGTGTGTTTTTTTTTGTTTGTCTGCAGAGGGGTATCTCAGCATATTCTCAGACCATAATGGAATGAAACTAGAAATCAAGCACAAGAAAAACACACAAACACAGGGAGGTTAAAGAACATGTTACTCAACAATGAATAGAGGTTAATGAGGAGATCTAGGAAGAAATAAGAAGATACCTTGAAACAAATGAAAATGAGAACACAACCACCAAAATCTAAGGTACACAATGAAAGTAACCCTAAGCAATTGATTTATAGCATTATAGCCTTACCTAAGAAATAAGAAAAATCTCAAATAAACAATTTAACTTTATAATAGAAGGAACTAGAAAAAAAGCAAACAAAGCCCAACGTGAGTAGAATAAAGTAAATAAATAACAGTACAAAAGATTAGTGAAACCAAGAACTGGTTCTTTGAAAAGATAAAGAAGATTAACAAACCTTTAACCAGACTCATCAAGAAAAAAAGAAAGAGTATCCAAATATGTAAAATCAGAAATGAAAGAGGAGAAGTAACACCAAAGAAATATAAAAGATTGTTAGAAAAGATTACTTAATAATTATATACCAAGAAATTGGACAATCTGGAAGAAATGAATAAATTCTTAGAACTACGATCTCCCAAAACTGAATCAGGAAGAATCAGAGAATGTGAATAGACATATTACAACTAGTGAAATTGAAGCACTTACAACAAACAAAAGTCTTGGAACAGGTGGCTTCACAACTGAATTTTACCAGACATTCAAAGAAGAACTAACACCTATTCTCAGACTATTCCAAAATATTCAAGAGGACAATAGACTTCTAGCTCACTTAGGAGACCAACATTATCCTAATTCCAAAACCAGATAAAGACGCTACAAAGAAAGAAAATTATAGGCCAATATCTCTGATGAACATATATGCTAATATCCTCAACAAAACTGATCCAGCAATACATTAAAAAGATCTTATAACATGGGATAAAATAGGATTTTGTGGATGCAAGATTAGTACAATATCTAAATCAGTAGACATAATATACTACATAAACATGAATGAATGGTAAAAAACACATAACCATATAATTTGATGCAGAAAAAGCATTTGATGAAATTAAAAACTCCCAGCCAGGTTGCAACAGAGAAACATACCTCAACGTAATAAAGGTCATATTGACAACCCACAGCCAACATCATACTTAATGGGCAAAAACTACAAGCATTTCTCTTCAGATTGAGAACAAGACAGGGATGCCCACTTTTACCACTCTTATTCAACTCTAGGGGCCCAGTGCACAAATTCGTGCATCTTGAACTGTGGACCACAGGCTACATTGGGCACTGGGGCGGGTCTTGGCCCATCCTTCCCGCCCCCAACCTGCCCCTCCTGCCATGGACCCCAGGCCCAAGTCTGCTGGCAGCCGCACTCCCGCTACTGCTGCTCCTGTTGCTCCTGCTGCTTCTACTGCTCCTACTCGTTGCCAGCCCTGCTTGCACCTGCTGACAACGTGGAGCGATTGGGGCTGGTGCCAGCAGCAGGTGTGAGTGGGGCCAGCATCATTAGTGGGTGAGAGTGGCAGCTGCTGCCTGATCGCTCCTCAGGAGCAGGGGTAGGTGGAGAAGCCCTTCGGGGACAGCAGTTGACACTTGCACCTGCTGAAGATGCCAAGCGATCAGGACTGGCACCAGGTGCTGGCAGTGGCTGTGAATGGTGGCTCCACTGCCAGCAGCAGGTGCAAGCAGGGCTGCTGCCAGCAGCAGATGCAAATACTGGCCAGGACTGTAGAGTGCAGGAGCAAAAAGTTTTCAGTAACCACCAGAGGCTCGTCCCGATAACAACATCTGGTACCTCGCTTTGGTCTGGAGCCCGTGCTCCACTATTCCACCACAGCCGATGCCCACCATATTACATCCTTTGCCCTCTGCTGCTAACACCTGCCATGTTCCATGCATGCCCACTGGTGGTCAGCACACATCATAGCAACCAGTTTTTCAGTTCAGTTGTTTCACTGTTTGGTCTATTTGCATATTAGGGTTTTATATATGTAACACTGGAAGTTCTAGCCATAGCAATCAGAAAAGAAGAAATAAAGGCACTCAAATTAGAAACAGAAGTAAACCTGTCATTATTTGCTGATGACATGATACCATATGTTACATAACCCTAAAGATTCTACCAAAAAACTACTGGAATTGACAAATGAGTTAAGTAGCAAGATACAAAATAAGCATCTGTATATCACTTGCATTTTTTAAAATATATCTTATTGATTTTTTTTACACAGAGGAAGAGAGAGAGAGAGAGTTAGAAACATCGATCAGCTGCCTCATGCACACCCCTACTGAGGATGTGTCTACAACCAAGGTACCTTGACTGGAATTGAACCTGGGACCTTTCAGCCCACAGACCGACACTCTATCCACTGAGCCAAACTGGTCTCGGCAATTCCATTTTTATACATTTTAATGAACTGTGAGAAAGAGAAACTAAGGAAACAATTCCATTCACAATTGCGTCCAAAAGAATAAAATACCTAGGAATAAACTAAACCAAAGATATGAAAGACATGTACTGAGAATATCCTAATATATAAAAACCCTGAGTTCATCAGAGGCTCGACCAACTGGAAGTCAGTCCTACAGTTGACGTTGGGTTGCCATGGCAACCCAGCACTGACTGCTGCAGCTGTAGGCTTGGTGGCCCAGCACTGACTGCTGAGAGGGCTGTGAATCAGGCCCGGAAACAGGCCTGAAGAGGGAAGCAGGGTCTGATCCCTAGCCTTTGTGGCAGTTGTTGATCAGCACTTGCCTCTCTCTTCTCTCCAGGCAGGGCCAGCAGCTGCACCTCCATTTCTTCTCCAGACCTCCACACTGGGTCTATTGATCAACCCCACCTTTCTGATCAGGCCCCATTAATAGGCCCAGAGACACTGACTAGCATAGAAACCAACCAATCAGAACCAAATCTGGGTGAAGTGTGAGGAGCCAATGGCTGCCTAGAAGGCATAGCTTTTGACGCTGACCAGCATAGAAACTGACCTATCAGAACCAAATGTGGGTCAACTATCAGGGACCAATGGCTTCCTAGGAGGGAGAGCTTTTGAAGCTGACTGGCATAGGAACCAACCATTCA